ACTCAACCCAGTGTTTCACCTTCCACACGCACCTCATCGCAACCTACCATAAGCGAGTACTTATGCTAGGGGTTATCACCAGCCCCATTCACCCCAAGCAGTGGTGAATGGTCCCGTTCCAGAATTTCATTTGGCGGATGTGCTTCCTAGGCCTTTCCATGGCCAGCTGTCAGAACTGGGCTCCCATCAAAGCAGAGCCCAAGACAAGATGCATGTGCAGTTTAAATAGGAAGTCATCTCAGAAGCAAGAGCAAGTTTATTTTTCTGGAGCTGGTCCCAGGGAGCAAGACTGAGGCGATGAAGAGAGTGAGACAAAGAAGGAAGAACTGTCCCTGACTGAGGGTCATTACCAATGTCACTGCTGTGGACAGCAGAGCCTGGATTGTGTGAGAACATATAGAATGCCTCTCAGAATTGTCTGATGAAGAGGCAGTGGGGTGTTTATCCACTGGTTCTTGTTTCCTACTTTCAAGTTGTCCTTTAGTCTCTGAGCTCCACATGTGCTCAGATCTAGTGAGCTTCGCATTACCAATGTCCCTGCTGTGGACAGCAGAGCCTGGACTGTGTGAGAACACATAGAATGCCTCTCGGAATTGTCTGGTTCTGACTACACTCCCATGTCTGTAGCAAGCAAGGGCATTAGAAGATTCCAAGGAAGTGGTTACAATCTGTCAGCTCACAGTGAGCAGAAACCTGCAGGGAACTCTCCAACCCAGCCAGGACTGAAATAAGAAGGGCCAAGCAAGACATGAATGAGAACATCAGCTCTGAATGCTCTAATCCAGTGGTTCTCAACCTTCCTAATGCCGCGACCCTTTAATACAGTTCCTCATGTTGTGGTGACCCCCAATTTCATTGTTACAAATTGAACATAATTAAAGCATGGTGATTAATCACAAAAACAATATGTAATTATATATGTGTTTTCCGATGGTCTTAGGCGACCCCTGTGAAAGGGTCGTTCGACCCCTAAAGGGGTCGCGACCCACTGGTTGAGAACCGCTGCTCTAATCTACGTCATAGAATTGTTGTGAGGACAGATAGGGACTCCAGGCTTGTCAGGTTCTGACTACACTCCCATGTCTGTAGCAAGCCGTCTCTGCTGGGAGAAGAGAGAGCCCTCTCTCTTAGGGAATGGGGTGTTGGGTGAGTAGTTACTGGTGGGTATAGGGGTGGGGGGAACACATGTCTCCACTTCACACATCTTCTGTTTGTTAATCTATGACCTTCACCAGGGCTTTCCATTTTCAGGGGCCTGGCCGAGATCATCATATTGGTAGGCATCCTCCCTGGGGTCCTTCTAGTAGGTATAGATCTTTACCACCACTTCCAGAACCATTACAGGTGCTCCAAGGCACAGTCCCAGTAGCCCCCACTAACAAGGCCCTGAGGGGGAAAGGACCACACTCCTGAAAACTCATTAGAAAAGTGGGTTTGGAGAAAGCTTCTCCCTCTTGTCTCTCTTCTGGGGCCTCCTCCTCATCCCAGGACTAAGGCAGGTTTGGGAATAAGCTTGTCTCTGCTCAAAGGCCCTGCTTGGGGCTGGCCTCTGGGAAAGAAAACCCCTCCTTTAGGAAACCGGCATCTAGTCTTCATTACACCTCAAGTTTGCTGGGTGACTTTAAGGATATGGACAAGTCCTGCAGGCCTCAGCAACCCACCATTAAGGGGAATTTATATCACCTGCCCCAACTCCCTGCCATAGGCCAGGGCAGAGATAAGGCCTCTTTAAAGGAAATCTAACTACCAGAAGGTGTAAGACATTGTAGAAGGTGTAACATTGTTGCTATAGTTATGAAGGGCTTGAGTTGTTTACAAAACAACTTGTATCTCTCCCCAGCTGTCCCCTCTTTCCTGGGAGGGCTCATTTCTGAGGTCTCCCCAGAGGATAACACCCAGTGAAAATATACCTCT